ATTTCATGATTGACAAAAGAGTATATATAAATTATATTTATATACTTATAAATATATCATAATAATCTATTGCAAAAGATTAAAGGATAAAATTAAAGCAAAATTATTCTCTTCTTCACGACACTAAGATGTCTTAAAGAATAAAATCATCATATTATTCGATGGGCGAACTCCTCTAAAAAATGATGGGATGGGTGATTTTAACCTAGAAGTTCGTTATGGTTCTCTAACTTATAATTCGGTGAGTTTAAAGTAGGATAGGATGAGACGAGCTCACTCGTTTTAAAAAATATATATTTACATATTAAAATTAAAATAAAAAAATTATAATTAAAAATATTATATTTTTTTATATTATGTTATTGAAATATATAAATATATTATAATTTAAATTATAAAAATTAATCAATTAAGTTTAAATTATTGATTATAATTAATTATTATAATACATAAATATAATAATTTTTAAAAATTTATCTAATAAAAATATTAATTAATAAATAAAAATTTAAACAATTTATATATTTTAACAAAATATATATATATATATATATATATATATAAAAGATTATTAGTGGATTGACTCCAACTCTACCTTTTGACGATTTTAATTAAGATATGTAATCTAATTATGACGAACTAGTTCATTTCATCTTTTTTTTAGGATAGATTCTAAAGACACTATCGTTCCTAAGTATAACAAACCTAATTAATATACTAACAAATATTCATTTACATAAATTTAATCTATACTAAAAAATTTTATTGATTCTAGTTATTAATACTTTCATAAATATAGAGTTAAATTTTAAATTAAAATTAAAAAATCAAGAATATGAGATAACATACATATGAATTTATGTATTATATTAATAGATATTTGATATTTCTATTTTATAATAAGTTTTTAAACATAGTAACAAAATTTTGAATATATAAACATTAAGTACTTGTTACCTTAATGATATTGTTTAGTTCGTATTTTACTTACGTTCATTAAATTTATTTTATTTTATTACACTAAAATATGTTTTTATAAAATAATAATTAAGATTAAAGACTTTAGAATAAATATAACACAGTTTATAATAATTTATTAAAAAATGATAATCAAAGTTTACAAATTAAAAAATAAATCATCACATATATACATTAAAACATAATATGTTTGCTTATATTAATGATGAAAGTGAGTATTATAAGAAGATTAATTCTATAAATAATATATTTAAAAAGAAAAATATTTAAATAGAATTTCTAAATTTATTTATCTAATTAAATGTATCTACTGTTTATAAATATATTATCATAAAACTTACACATTTCATAAAATAATTATGTAAAGGATATTTTAATAATATTTTTGTGGGAAACTAATGAAATTTAAACAAATAAAAATAGAGTATCATAAACTTAAATTTGTGGGAAAAGTGAAGTAATGTTTAACATAAGAATCGACAATGATATAATATTGGTAAACGAATGTAATTTATAACAAATTTAATTTTGGAGCAGAACATTACTCTCATGGTTAAATATATCTCTCATCCTTTATGGTGACGGTGATTCTTAATAAATGGCCTTAAATTTCTGGTGACGGTCAAATACTTTTTTCTCTTTGATCTGCTAGCACTTTCTTTTTCATAATACTCCACACTATATATTAACTTTGAATTGTTTTTATTTAAAATTATTTAAATGTTTAAAATTTTATTTAAATAATATTGTTTAAATTTATTAAATTTAATTTTTTATTTAGATACAAATTTAAATTAACACACAATATATCATTTATTGTTAATATTAAATAATATATAATATTTTAAAAATACTAACAAAATCTCACACTCGAGAGAAAACGTAAATTTAAGAGGGAAAATGTAAAAACAAAAATACAATTTTTAAATGTTTTATGTAAAATTTATAAATTTTTTATTTTAAATAATTGAATTACTCTTATAATTTTTAAAATTTTGATTTCTTATTGGTAGTATAATTTTGACAACAACAATTGGGAGTGGTTCTGTAAAATTGATCGACTCCGCCGGTATTACCTTAAAAAAAATTGATGACTTACTTGATTTTCGTATTTTAAAATAGATCATGATTAACGTGAGTATATATTAGGCTAATGAGTTAATTTTGATATAATTAAAAATAATAAAAAATTATTAATATATCTATATTAAAATAATTAATTAAAAAAATTAAATAAAAATATATTTTTAAAATTTAAATTATATAAATGAAATTAATTTTATTTAAAATATAATAATTTAATATATAAATTATAAAAAAATAAATTTATTTAATTTTAAAATAAAAATTAAAAACTTACTTTTAAAATACTAATTAATCTTAATTATCAAATATACATTTTAATATTTACCCTTAAAATAAATTAATACTTTCTCAAATTAATTTATAATATATATATATATATATATATATTAATAAAATAATATATTTTTATTTTAAAAATTAATAATTATTTTACAAAACGAACCGATAAATAAACTTACGACACTAAGTTCACGTAGACAATAATAATTTAAATAAATCAAGATAAAATAATTTTAATTTAATTTAAACTAATTTTTTTTATTTGAGTTATTTTCTTGATCCTTTCATATTAATTCATTAAATTAAATTTATTTTTACAGCTTAAATTAAATTGGATTTGGATAGAGAAGTGAATAATATATAACATTTTTTTCTACATTAAGTAACCATTTTTATCTGCTTGTTTTAATCTAAGTTGGTATGTGGGAGTAAGGAGCTTAATTGAATTCAAATCTTTTAAATAAAAGTTTAATAGCTATCTTCTTTTTAAATAATTTTATTTGAAAATATTAGAAATTTAATATAATTTTTTTTTATTGAAAATTAAAACATTCAGTAAGCCAACTTCTTTCAACCTTTCATGAGTACTTTTTTTTTCTTCTATTTTCCAGAGTCCTCTTTATTGATAAGAAAAGAAAGAAAGCATGATATAAAGAAGTTAAAAAGGAAAAGGTGAGAAAAATATTAAACGCGTGAAAAGGTAAGTAAATAAAAGTATTATTTAAAAAAAAACTCAGGGTTTTGTTTAACAATTAGAATAGTACATTTGACAATTACTTTTATTTTTTTTTAATAACTAAAAATTCCTCTATGTCATACAAATCACAAGATCAAATAAGTTTCTTAAGTTTAAAAGGTGAGATTTTCTCAGTGGTAGGCATTGGTCGTCATCATGGGTTCATTTGGTGCATCAAATGGAAGAGAGCTATTACTGCACATGAATGGTGGCAAGGGAGAAAGGAGCTATGCAAACAACTCCTTACTACAAGTACTAATTCTTCTCTCTTCTTTCTTCTAATTTCTTGAATTGTAGGATCATTTTCTAAGTGATTTTGATATTGCCTCATTTGTATGCACTACAAGAATTTTACATATTAGTTACGCCACATTCCGTAACTATTTTATAGCTAATCTCTCGCTGGTATATTTTGCTACAGATTAGCTACGGAATAGCTATGAAATAGTCCGTAGCTAAATCCAAGTAGCTAATTAGATACAAATGTATTCTCTCTCAAACTTATAGCAAATTTTGTCGTTAAACTGTCGCTAAATCCCTCGCTAATTTAAATGATCAAATTTTGTTTATCTCTAGCTAATTTGATCTCCCAAAACTTGTAGTTAATCCGTAGCTAATCCCTCGTAATTTCGCTCTCGCTAATCCGTAGCTAATCTCTCGCAATTTTTCTCTCGCTAATCCGTAGCTAATCCCTCGCAATTTTACTCTCGCTAATTCGTAGCTAATCCCTCGCAATTTTTCTCTCGTTAATCTTTAGCTAATCCCTCGCAATTTTTCTCTCGCTAATCTGTAGCTAATCCCTGACAATTTATCTCTAGCTAATATGTGGTTAATGCCTCGCAATTATTTCCTCGCTAATCCGTAGTTAATCCTTTGCAATGTTTCTCTCGCTATTTCATAACTAATCTCTCACAATTTTTATCAAAATTTATAATATCAAATATTTAAGATTTAAATTATTACTCATATTCTTAAAAAAAAAGAAGACAAACTTTATATCCTTGTGATGATCCGTAAACTAGTGGATAACTCAGAATCGTGAGTTAATAACCTTGGATCCAAAATCTTTATATGACATCAATACATGTAATTATGTGCTCATGTCCTAAGTCAATTGTTTAATGCATTCTCTATAATGAGGTTTTAGAAATATGTTCCTACAACTTTCAATAATGCAACCTTTTTGAAGATGATTACAAACATCCACAAATTAGTTGTCGTCGACATACAAGAACTTAATTTTTAAAATTGTATTGATACCACATAAAACCTTTTAATTCAAAAATATCATATAAAAAAAAATCAGAAAAAGTTATTCAAACTTCGGAATTACATCGTAATCAACTTTAAGGTAAAACCAAAATATTGATGTGTGCATCAAATGAAACCATATATTCAGAATCATGAACCCTCAACAATGCAAATATCAACCACCTTCGCATATCGAATTCATCTATAGTTTACCAATTACATGACAAACCAAAGCACAACATCAGTGACTATGGGTTTCAAATCTTCTAAAACCACTACAGAAAGCAGATAAGATTTTATGTTAGTTAAAATGAAAATTATAATAATAAATTGAATGACAAACAATTTCCTATTTGATACTCTAGTCACAAATCCTCTAGTTATAATACATCATCTATCCTACACAATACTAATCTATGTCTAAACTGGCGCATGAATTACTAAGCCAATGCCTTCATATTCTTGCTATGGTCAACAATAACATGCTCCCACATCAAAATCATGATCAGTTTGGCTAGAGCCAAGTACTGGTTGTGTGTCACTGAGCCCATTCTGCATCTTTCTCGCACATCACCAGATCCTATAAGCTACAAGTTTACAATAACCCATTCTCTCTTAAGTTTTCTTTGCCACCAGCTCAGAGTGAAAACGTAGGATTGGTACCAGACTTTCAGGGTTGAACAGGAAGTTCCACCTTGTCATAGGAAAAGAAACTGACCCTTCCCTCTGTGACCTGGCAGATTTTCAAAGGAATGCCACCACATTGTTTCTCAAGAGATTCAATCTCTACTTTAGATGATGGATGACCCCTAACAGAAGATACATGTTATAAATGAGTAATAGATTTCCAATAACAGATAATAAAAAAGAGGGCGGAAAAGAAACTAGAACTAAGGACAATTTTGCATAGCTATTAATTTGTGTCAAAACCATATTAGTCATTAAGTTTTGTATTTTTCTCCTTGCGCTATTCTATTCTTTATTACAGTCTAATTTTACTAATTAATACTAGGTTTATGTATTTAGAAACAATCCCATAATCATAGGGATTTGTCTCCTTAGAATTGGCAGTCCATATTTCTTAAAATAACCGACAGACTCATGTATTGATAGGTCTAATGACCTCATAATTGATACAATAAAGTAGAATATTATTTCTTCTAAATTTGAGAATCAGTAAGAGGTAAATAATCAATGTCAATATTTTAAGTTAATTTTTAAAAATAAATAACCATAATTGATAAATACCTACAACGGCTACTTGCTCACACTTGTTCCCACAAAAATTAGAACTATTCATCCAAGTCTCAAATGGCTATCAACTTCTCATGGATGTATTGAAGTATATCTAACAAAAAACAGATATATGTACGTATGAAATTGCATTTTCCTATTTTCATTATAAGAGAACAGGCAATCACAATGCCTTTATCAATTTTTAGTGTTTACTGTGAGAAATAACATGGTCACACCTTACAACCCCCCAACCCGAACACACACTGCCACGCAATGAAGCAGCGTGTCTGCTAGTGTGAATTCCTATGATACAAAGATCAGTTACCAATGAAATTTCAGAATCTAAAGTAATCATACTGATGCAATGAGAGACGTAGTTATTACCTAGATAAGTATAGTAGAAAACCTGGATCACGAGGGGAAGACTTTCTAAACCGGCTATTTGGAAGATAAACATCAAAATCTGGCATCAACTCATTAATTTGCAAATCAGAAAATAACTTATAGTGAGGAAAGTAGATTACACAGTTTTTAGTCCTGTGAAAAGCAAATGTGTGAGACAAGAAGGACATTGGAGAAAACTATTGAGAGGATCTCATGGTAAACGATATTCTAAAAAAAAAAAAATCTTAAACAGAGTCGAATGACATTTTGTAATCAATAGCCAACCTCACCTAGTGAAATATGTTTTTGTTGTCATTTGATTGATTCATAAACTCTATGAAATTGTAAAATTTAGTGATATAACAAAGAATGACTTAGATATATCATCTAAATAATGAATATTGCTTAATGAAATAATTTTAAACTAGAAAATGACCAAAAGTTTCACATAACAGAATAATGAGTTATAACTCAGTGTTTGAAGCCTTTATTTTATAAGACTTAAAGCAGCAACGATACAGCTAAATACAATCAAATAGGATGTGTTTAATAGTGCTCATTCATTTTCTTTTGCATTGGTGATATGGAATTGCATTGATTCATCCATGTATCATAATTTATGAGATCCATAGTCAAGTCATAGCCAAGTCATATCAAAGTCAAATCATGTCATTCAAATAGTGAAATGTAAGATTATCATACTATGTTATATATATATATATATATATATATTCCCCCCTTTGCATTCCCCTGAAGATTCAAAAATAATGTAATTACAAATACTTAAGTTTCAACTGACAAGAGAAGTCATCTAACATGTTTTGGACTGTTAACTTTATCTAAAAACTGCTAACAGTGAATACATAATTTCCCTGTTTTTGTTTTCTCATGTATTGAGAAAAGGATATTCAATGGAAAAATTTAGTGAAGCAGAAAGAGCCCAAAAATTTGATCCATTTCTCAAACGTGGAAAATAGCATTAAAAACACCATCTGATTTGCACGAGTACTGAACTTCATGTCGGTCAACCATAGAGATAAAACACAGTATGACAATATGCGATGTGCCAATAAGTACTAATATGACCCGAGGACTTACCTCTGGTTCTCAATTATAGGTACGCGAGCAACAACAAAGAGGAAATTACCATTATAAAATATGTTGAATTCTATCAAAAAGAAAGATGCAGAGGAAATTCCACTAAGCAAACCCCCTCTGCTCGTGAATTGTAATTGAAAATTTAAATTGGATTAAATAAATTTAATTAACCATGATAATTACAGTGAGTAACCCACCGTAAGAGAGGTACATAGTAAATCAAATCAAATAAAAATACTCAAGGAACAAATAAACCCTATCGTTGTTGCTAGGTTACATGAAACCTAATCGCTGGACAATAGGGAACATACTCAGAAGTTGGAAATTACTAAATAGAATCAGAAGAAGGCACAACTAACTACTACTACGATTAACTGTTCTTTTACCATAAAAAGTCACTAACAAATCAAAACACAAATTGAAATTTACATAAAATACATAAGATTTCATAAAACACATGTACCGACAGTGGCGCTGTAGGCAGTGGCAACGGCACGACAACAATGCGGTAGTAGGAGCGGTGGCAGCGGCAGTGGCTGCAGCGGCGGCAGCGGGAGCGGCGACAACGGGAGCAGCAGCAGCGGGAGCGGTAACAAATGCAGTCTAGGTCTGTTGAAAGTGAAAGAAGGAGACGTAGGTAAAGGGGAAGGGAATTTTGGGAAAAAAGATTAATTTAATATTTTTATTAAAAAATTATAAAATTGTTATCATTTTTAAAAAATATTTTTATTATTATATTAAAGATGTTTATATTTAAAATAATACTTAATTAAATAAATATTTTAATATAATAATTTTTTTATAAAGACTAATTTCTAAAAAAAATTATAAAAAATTTATTTATAAAATTTTCTATTAATTTAAATTATTAAATACTTCCTACAAATTTAAATTTATAAAAAAATTTACAAAAAATAATTTTAAATATTTATCAATTTTTTTAGATATTTTTTCAAAAAATTATAATTATTTTCAAATAATTTATTTATATATATATAATTAATATATTTATAATAAATTTGGTAAAAATAATTTTATAATTATTTTTTTGCTATAAATGTGCTACAATTTAACTATGATTATATGTTATATAATTTAGCTAATAAATAGCTTTAAAAAATAACATAGTTAATATTTATAACTAGGGATTAGTGACAAAAATTTTCCTTAACTAAATTATTTTTCTATTAAGTGAGGGAATAACTACAAAAATATTATCTTCTAGCTATTTTACTAAAGATTAACTATAATTTTATTTCTTTACTATTTCATAGCTAATTAGCTACAAATTAGCTAAAAATAAATTTTGTAGCAAATTTTTGTAACTAATTGAAAAATTTCATGCATCACATAACTTGTTTCCTTTTCTTACTATATTCATCTAACTTTGTTTTGATTTATTGCAGAAAAAACTAATGCTTAGAGCCAAACACATACTTGAAGAAACTATAACCACACTGTTTCGTGATTCTTCTCCAAATTGCATGAAAGTGGCAGATTTAGGTTGTTCAGTAGGACCAAATACACTTCTTGTCACATCAAACATTATTGACATTGTTGATGCCACATGCATCCGCTTGAACCATGAACCACCAACATTCCAGTTTTATCTCAATGATTTGTTTGGAAATGATTTCAATACCATCTTCAATTCACTTCCTGACTTCTATACAAGATTGGTACAAGATAAAGGTCACAAGTTTGATTCATGCTTTATTAATGCCACCCCTGGATCTTTTCATGGGAGGCTCTTTCCTAATAATTCCATCAACTTTTTTCATTCTGCCAACAGTCTACACTGGCTCTCTCAGGTCAACTAGACTATTCTTTTTCTTCTTCATTTTTCCCTTCAAGATAATTATGATGTTTGGCTTTGTTTATTAATTTATTTATCATATTTTGGTTGTAGGATCCCTTATTAGGGTTAACTAAGGAGGTAAAAACACTGAACAAGGGAAACTGCCATATAGTTAGCACAAGCCCACCAGAAGTATACAAAGCCTACCTGAAGCAGTTTCAAGAAGGTTTTAAATTGTTTCTGAAATCACGTTCAGAGGAACTTGTTCCTGGAGGAGCAATAGTCTTGGTGTTACCTTGCACTTGCAAAAGTGAAACTCTTTCAAAAAGCCTTTGGGAAGTAATTAACCTAACACTCTATGACATGCTCTTGGAGGTAACTAAACATTTTTTTGTCAATTACCATTAGCTGTCACTTCAAATTATTCTGTCCTTAATGTATACTCTGCAGGGTTTGATTGAAGAAGAAAAATTGGACTCCTTTAACATACCAACATATGAACCTACAATTGAGGAAATTAGGCATTTGATTAAGGAAGAAGAGTCGTTGTTTCTTCAAAGATTAGAGGTTTTCACCGTGCCTAGGGATGAAGGTATAAGTGAACGTGGAAATGATTATTTTCTTGATGAAAGTATTAGAGCTGAGTTCATAGCCACCTACACAAGAGCTGCAATGGAGCCTCTCTTATCTGCAAAATTTGAGGTACAAGTTATAAATGAGTTATTTATCAGGTTTCAAAAGAAACTTGTGCAACTCATGAAGGTGGAGAAATTTGAGACTGCTAATGTGATTATATCCATAACAAAAAATGTTTGAAGAAGTGTTGCTCAATCCAAGAACATCCTAAAAAGTGGTTTTTCTTTTATGCTTTTGTTTTGATTTGGTAAAATAATGGTCTTAGAAGACGCTACTTTATTCAAGCTTTAGACCTGTACCAGTATCTTAATTGTGACTTTAGAGTATTATCAGAAAAAAATAAAATTTGACTTTGAGATTGAGAACACTTATTTGTAAGTAAAAGTTAAGATGGTTTGGAAGAGTAAGTAAAAAAAAATACTTATGTTGAGCTTGGAGAGACATATTTATATAATATTTGTGGCACTTATTTATGAAATTCTGTATGATATGCCAAATTATTTTGCTTTAGAACATGCGACAGACATAACAGAAATAATAAAAAGTCATTTTCTATATTCATAAGACCAATTTATTTAAATTTAAAATAAACGTTATTAAATTAATAAATTTTCAAAATAATAATTTATTTAAGAATAAATAAAATTTTCTTATTAAAAAAAATAAAAAGCTGTTCATTTTAAATTAAGTAAATTAGACAAACACATAAAAAGTATATTTATTGGCGTAACTTATCAAATAAATGTTTGAATGCAAATTTATGCAGTGTCTAAGAAAGCAGTTGTTATTTTTTTTTTTTCAATATATATAGTAGATACTAAAATGAAAGAATATATTTTTAATTTTTCATACTTTTTAATCAAAATTGATCAAAGTTGTAATTTTTATAATGGTTATTTAAAAATTTAAATCAAGTGAAAAAGCTTGAGTATATTAAATTTATGAATTAAAAAATATAAAAACAATAATTATATTTAAAATAAAAACGTATTAAAATCATATTTCATGTCTGAAAAAAAGGGTCTCGCTGATAAAAAAAAAGTGAGATTGCAGTATGTTTAAATATATTTTTGGAATTTAAAAATAAAAAATAAAAAAAATATGTTATGATTTTTTTATGTATAAATTTAAAAAATTATCTTACTTTTTTTATAAATTAACTTATACACTAATTAATTTAAATTTATCGTAAAAATAATTTATTTATTTTATATGTTAAGGTATAGGAGATAAGTATTATTATTATTATTATTATTATTATTATTATTATTATTATTATTATTATTTATAATAAAAAGAAAATGAAATGAAGGAGTTGGCCCAAAAATTGCATCGGTAAGAAAACGGAAAGATATATTGTAAGGCGAGATCCAGCAGAAAGTGCAGTGCGCTCTCCTCCCAATCACAGATTTAACACCGCCAATTCAAATTCCCTTCTCAACCCCATTTCCTCTGATTCAACCATGTGGGGTACAATCGCCAACTTCAAGGAAAATTTGAACAAGATCGCACTCGACGTTCACTACGACCACGACGAATACGACGCCATCAGCCCCGCCGTCTCCGATCGCCGCAATTCTCACTCCTTCGCGCATTCCAATTCTCTTCCCAGCTCTCCGCCGCCCAACGGAATGTCCGATCACCCCTACGCTTCTGAGGTTCGTTGTCCTCAAATTCCCTGCCACGTCATGCGTTTTTTATTCCTTTTTTTCATACAGTATGTGAAAATGGCGTGGAACATTGGAATGTTAGCTAGCGATTTCCGATTCTGAATGCCTTTGCAGTTAATGAATCGCGGGTATTTCGTATTTTGGATTGAGACCGGAAGCAGGATAGCTGCAAAACGTTGCGTTCAATTTAGGAGTGGTGTCACTGAACCTAGGTGTGAGGTCGTGTAGATAATTCGAAAGACAAATTAGAATTGTGAATTACTACTATTCAGCTCCTCATGTTCTCTACGAGATGATGAAATATTGGAACAGAATATCTTTGAACACCAACAAGTAAAGGTCCAAGGGTGAACCTACAAGGACTCTCAGTGTATACAAGATACAAGTGGATGAAAAAGGTTAGAGAGAGTTCTTCAGACCTTGTAGGGTCTATTTATACCACTGATCCTTAATTTGTTGTCATCGTGTTCCGTCAGTGAGGGGTGTGGGAAATGCGTTTTAAGGCAAATTCTTACAGAATTGCTACGTCTAGCAGAATATTGGCCATGATTCCCTGCTTCATGTCTACGTTGTGGTCTGTCTGGTGTTGGAAGATTCACGATGTACATTTGAGGTCCAGAAGATGGATCCTTTGGTCATTAAATCAATCCATTGGCTTTCTTGCCAAACTGGACCCAAATTTGCCCGAGAGGGTCGAGAACAAGTACTTATTTAATCAACTGGCTCCAGAAATCATATTGACACATGCAAAAGTTCTCACACTCCTCAGTCCTGATTTATGTGTAATGTGTATATTGAGTTCTGAAACTTGTTCACATTTGTTTTGCATTATCTATCAGCATCTTCTATGGAATAATTGTTTGGTGTTTTTGGTGAAAAGTGGATGATTCCAGTGGGCCTTCAAAAGCTCCTGTGTTAATTCACAGGATTTATTAATAGCAAAGATGCCAAAAGCTTTTGGGTGTTCTCAGGCTGTGTGGTTCTTTGGTGTGTTTGGCTGGAAAGAGATGATAGAATCTTCTCACGTGCCACTCATCCATTGAGTTTATTTGGGATTGAATAGTTTTCTAGCTTTTTTGTGTTGTTATGCTCATGGACTCTTTAGGGGGGGTTCCTTGTTAAATCTTCCGAGAGATTGACACGCTGTGTTGATCTATTCTTTCCTTTTTCTCTGTTTTTTTTCTTGCAAAACTTCCAAACAACTTGGAGAAGCAGCTCCCATCTTAACTAAAACATCAGCACACTTTTTTCTCAGGGAGAGTGTGCTGCAACACAATGTACAAACTCTTAAGCAATATCTCATATCTGTATTTATGGCAGTATGAAGGCACCACCTTTACCTAATGCATTTCTTTAGTTCTTGAGGACTTCTTATTTCCTTTTTCTATCTTATTTAACCTTTTTTCACGTATTAAAAAAAAAAACCCGCTTGTGTGAATTTAGAGAATTTTCTTTTATCTATTGCTTGGAATTGGAAGTGTAATGTATTTAAATTCAAATTTTATGCCATATATTTCCCCTTGAATGGTCAAGTAGAATATTGTAATACGTAGGTTTTCTTTTGTGATTAAAGATATCATTTTTAATTTATTTTATTGTAGATAGAACAATATAAGGCAGAAATCAAGAGACTTCAGGCTTCTGAGGCAGAAATTAAAGCACTATCTGTTAATTATGCAGCTCTATTAAAAGAAAAAGAGGTATATGCCTGGTTATTACTTTTCTACACATATGTACCAGTACTATGTTGAATTTTCTGTTGCTGTTTCTTATGTTGAACTGTGTAGCTACTTAATGTTCAATTATGGATAATTTTCTCTATAAACACTTATAGCAGGAGAAAATAAAAACGAAAAATAAACTATGTTTCTTCAGTATGCTAAAATTAGTTTGTGTATAAACTAGTTTGTAGAATTCTTCTCAGTTAGCTTATAGGAGACCATAGGCACATCATCAAACAGACCATAGAGAAATCTCTATTATCTTCTCCTCAACAGGAACTGTTTCAACTTATTCTCAAATAATGTCATTCCTAAATCTATTATATCCTCTTGTTCACCTTTATATTCATGTCCACTACACTTAATTTTTGCTCTTACAGCACTTCTGGTCTTGTAGCTATCTGACATAATTTTCTTGATTATTGGAATTTTTTTGTCCTCAAATTATGATTAAGCATTTTTTAAATTTCATTCACCCAACTTGAATCCTGGATTATGATTAATCTTTTTTTCCATCAAATTGTAAAATGAATCTGAGGCACATTGTAATTCTCAATTTGGTTTTGGACCTTATATTGTATTTGTGTTGTATTAATTAAGGTGAACTCAGCTGCAATTCTCCCCTTTGCCCAAATAAAAGGTTCTTTATTGTCTCAAATATATTGTTGGATTATATTTATAACCTGATATATCTATCTCAGGCTGAGCAGAGGTTCCAGAATGAGACAATTAACTATTTGTCTAATTTGCTAAATGAAGAATTTTATTTCTGGCCTTTTGTTAAGTTTAACTATCCAACCCTTTTGACTTCACAGGATCATATTGTTAGATTGAATAAAGAAAATGGCTCATTAAAACAGAGTTTGGATACAATCCCAGTATCTACAAATGGCGCATACACAGTCATGGTAATCCTATATTCTAATTCTAACTTTATTATGTCATAACAGATAATTTTAAAGTGTTTTGTAAGTCCTCCTCCATTACATATGATCTCTTGTATTTCATGATTTTTAAATGAAACTTAAATAGTGACAAAGATAAAAGGTGATTACATTTTCTGGTTGGAAAAACTCAACCACCTTTGAGATTGTGTTGGTTGTCAATTTTGGTTCTTGACACATGGTTAGTTCATACATACCTTACTTCTCTTGTTCTTGAGGCAATTAATTTGAGTGATTCATGCCAATTACATTTTTCTCATTATATGGATAAGGTAAGTATATATATATATATATATATATATATATATATATATATATATATATATAACCACATTGAACTGATCTTTTGCCAATAGACTATTTATGATTGAGAAGCTATGGTTGTGTTGTTGTGTATAATTATTGATACTATATATAGGACTTTGTAATACGTACTAGTAAATAATGTATGGAGTTTGGCCAGTTTTAACTGATTGATGTTTTTGATTTATATTTCTTTTATTTTCCTGTAAAGGAAGACCCAAATTTTTTTTGGTGATTTAATTTTTCATCTTGCCAATAATAGTGGAAGGAGATGTATGTGAAGAATTTTTTTGGGAGGCAGGGGAGGGATGGTGAAACGATGGTCTTGTATATAAAAGTGGAACAGAATGACCCATTAATAGTTAATGAAAATAAGAAGTTTCTATTATTTATTTTTCTTCTCTCACATTGGGTTACGCCTTCCTCTACTAGACTTGTGAAATGATATGAATGTTATATTCTTTAGTAACTGTTCAAAACTGAGCAGATTCATGTAGAGTACTTATGTTATGTCCTTAAGGAATTACATTTATATTTACAGCTCTTAAATGTAATTATATATATATATATATATATATATATATATATATATATATATATATATATATATATATATATATGCTCTCCTGAGCTTTTTTCACTCAATCAAAATATTGTCTTCAACTTGGCATCAGATCATGTTCTTTAGGAATATTTATGCACAGTTAAGTTTGGAGACTTATTTGATATCCCATAGAGTTATCTAACGTTTCCTTAATTTCAAGGATTAATGTGATAGCGCTCACCAGTTTCAAAAGACTAAAGTGATTTTTACTCTTTTTTGTTTCTACTAGCACTGCTAAATCAAGATTCCCAACATAACCAACTATTCTTGTTGATTACTTTTGAATATTTGTGAAGGGAAATAGTGACCAATCATCAAATCGACAGCATAGGTTCACAACTCAAATGAAAAATCATTTTGCTGCAAACAATGGAAGCACATCTTCTTTGGAATCCAATGCTATTGAAAGTAAGATGGTATCTAAACATTCAAACTCACAAGTAGAGGACAAGGTAACTACATATCGGATGTTTTTGTTATTCTCAAATTATGAACCTATGTAGAAAGATTTTCCTTTGGTGGTTTGCATTTATATTACTTGCCTATTTTGCTCTTTTTTTGTTCAATTAGTTTTTGTTTGCTTCTCTATTTTCTGAATGTTGAATTTAAACTTTTTTATAGGATTTATATATTTAGTTTTAGTGATGAGTGAACTTGACGACAGATGTATGAATGCCTTCTAGGAGCTAGCAGATATGGTAGAGGGAAAAAGTAGCCTCTCAGCAGCAGTACAACATTCACATGAGATACAGAAAATGAAGTTGGAACTAGAGCAAGAACACAAAAAATTGGCAGATATTCAGCTTAAATTCCAAGGTCATCATTCTGTATATAGCATATATATAAATTGTATTATCATTCTTATGTCTAAATAGAAACTGCTAACAATCTGGATCTTTCTTTGATGACAGAGGAAGATAAATTGAACAAGTCTTTCCAAGAGGAGTTGAAATTATTAAAGTTGGAAAGAGACAAAGTGAGTTTATCCAAGCAAAATATAAATTTGATTATAATATTATTTTATTTCTATAAGTATCTGGCTTTTTCACCGTAATAAAAGAGAAAGTGAATAGGTAATATTTTTAAAAATGAACTATATTTTTTACTCACCATTCATAAATATATTGATTATTTTATGGTTTGCTTTTATTAGTTTTTTATATTCAAACTAAAATATGTTGAAATTTATTTCCCAGAATACGTGTTACTATATTTTTTTTGTCTCTAATATATTATTAGTTTTTTTTTTCAGATTATTTAGCATTTTATATTTGTTTTAATATAGTTACAATTGGGCACAATCCCATCTGCCATATATGTATGGCTAACTTTTGGCTCACTTCCATAAGCTGTCATTCACAATCGATAACACTGCTTTGATTGGGAATGGAAATTGATATGAAATCAAGATGAATGCATGGATGAAAAATCAAAGAATGTTTTGAGAAAGAAGAAAATTGAAAATATATACTTGTAAATAAAGACATTGCCTGGATTCATGAGAACTATGGGAATAGAAAATAAAAGAGAACATTAGTTGGCTTTTTTCATTGATTTCTATTCTCCATTCCACTATTTCTTTAGATATTATTTTTTAACACCGAGAATAACTTGAACACTTCATTGTTTACCTTAATACATTTCATTGCATCATTTTGTAGTATATTATGTCTTCCATTGCATAACACTGTTGGTTTTGTGTACAATGTAATATGATAAGCTGGACTATTATAGTGTTTGGTTATCTAACCAAGACATGTACTGTATTATTGCTTTACAGACAACAAATGAGATAAGCAAATTACACAATGATTTGAATGGGAAAATATCAGAAATAAATCGTCTGCAAACGGAGTTGAATAGATGGGAAGATGAAGAAGCCAGTGATGCTGTGGATAGCTTCAGGAGACTAATTGAGACTTTGGAGAAGGAAAACACTACTCTTAAGGTCAGTAAATTTATGCATTAAATTTTTTTTTTTCAATAATATGAAAAAAAGAGCAGACTGTGTTATCACTCAATTTGGTAATGACTGTTTGATGGTATTATGCTCCAGAAATGTACTCTGATATATTCAATCTTGTTGTTTTATTAGTTGGAAAAGGATGAACTTGAGGCTGCACTCAAATCAAGTAGGATTTCTGGTAAAATGTCACCTGATGCTTCTCAGATTCAGAAATGGGATCCAAGCTGTAACAATCATGTGAGCCAAAACTTAATAGTGACATTTACTTTACAGGTTATGTCTTATGAATCGTGTTAGTAATTGTTTGTCTTCTTTTCTTATCTTTCCTTGGGCTTTTGGAAATTGGATTTTTTGGTAGCAGTTACCAGACCCTTCCGAAAGTTTTCCAGGGAAAGAGTTGGAAAGATCCTTACATAAGCTAAGTAAAGAACTGGAGGAAACTCAAAAGGAGAGGGACAAAGCAGTACAACAATTGACCCGTCTTAAACAGCATTTGTTAGAAAAGGTTTCATTTTTCACTTTAATTTTTTGTAGCAAAATCAATAATGATTGAGCATGATTCAAAGGGACAAACAATGTCCGATTTTCATAAAAAAATTGTGTTATTCTAAAAAATATATTTTCCCCGCTTGTATTATATTTTGTTTCCTCAATCATCTGCAAAAACTTCATATGCATCCATCCCTAATGAATGTAATATATCAATTTTTCTGTGGTACAATAAGATGTTCACCATCCAGCTTTTTCTCTAGGAATCTGAAGAATCAGAAAAAATGGACGAGGATAGCAAAATCATTGAAGAGCTTCGTGATAGCAATAATTATTTAAGGGCTCAAATATCGCATCTTGAGAGATCTCTGAAACAGGCAACTGTGAGTCAGGAGAAACTGAAGATGGCAAATGACAATGAAATTCTTAGATCCAAGGAAATCATTGATGACTTGAACAAGAAGCTTACTGACTGTATGAGCACAATAGATGCTAAGAATACTGAACTTTTAAATCTACAAACAGCTCTTGGACAATATTATGCCGAAATTGAAGCTAAGGTTACTTTTAATTTTTATTTAGAAAGTAATATGCAATAAGTTGTTAATATGGCCTCTCCATTTTTTTATTCTCCAATATCTTTTCATGTGCCTTTCTGTCTATTGTTGTACAGAGTAACGTAATATTCACTATATATTTATTTCCTGAAGGAACATTTAGAAGGAGATGTGGCTCGTGCAAAGGAAGAAAATTCTAATCTTTCTCAATTATTGAAAGTATGATCTCTCTTTCGTTATTAAATGTAATTTTTTGACGACCCACACTTTAGTTAAAAATTTAACTCAACAGCGTTCGACCCTTTTATATTGATGATTGTAACAAAAAAACAATATGATGCTCTCTGCTGAGGTTGCAGCATTGGACCCATGATTCCCCTGCTGTGTATTGATGTTTTATCATGTTTTATAACTCAAAGTATGAGGAGGTTACTTATTGGTGTTTCCAATTTAGTTAAATGCATATTAAATGGTTGCCAGGATGCAGATCGCAGAGCAGATGTATTGAGCAGTGAAAAAGAAGAAATTTTAGCTAAGCTTTCTCTATCTGAGAAAATACAATCAGAATGGAGAAGTAGAGTAAGCAAGCTCGAAGAAGACAATTCCAAATTGAGACGAGCTGTTGAGCAGAGTATGACCCGGCTAAATAGAATGTCAGTGGATTCAGATTTTCTTGTTGACAGGTTGGCATGCTTTTCATCTAAATAATTTTTTCGTGCAATATTGGCTTCGCCATGTGACTTGGGAGCTTCCAATATTTCTAGCGTGTCGGGTTTTAATGAATATAAACTCCTTGAGGGGGACTATTGTCTACAGTATTTTATTATCTATCTTTAATTTCCTAAAAGAGTTTATAATTGAAATTGGAGTCTTATAAGTTTTAATCTGGCGTACGTAGACTAGAAAATGTTTTTTCGTAATTGTATTGCTTCTTTTATTAATCTTAATTGTATTTTGGACAGGCGCATTGTGATAAAGTTACTGGTTACTTATTTCCAGAGAAACCACAGCAAAGAGGTATGCCAGTCTTCTAATTTGTTTGCTTAATATATGTATATATAGCATGCATATCTCCCCGTTTCTTCTGTGTTGTGTTGCATATAATAAAGTGATAATGGGGACAGGTTTTGGATCTAATGGTTCGCATGCTTGGATTCTCTAACGAGGACAAACAAAGAATTGGCGTTGCTCAACAAGGTCCAGGAAAAGGTGTTGTCCGTGGTGTTCTTGGGCTGCCTGGCCGCCTAGTTGGAGGTATCTTGGGAGGAAGTGGTTCCACTGAATCATCTGCAAATGCTGGAGCGGATAACCAGGTGATTCCTTCTCATCTTGTGTTTATTTTTCTGTGGGGTTTATCAGAAAAGAATATGATAAAAATTCTGGGAGAACTACTCCACGAAAGCTAGTTGTTGTAGTTAGAAAGTCCGGGGCCTTAAAACCCTACTCTCCCATAATTAAAAATGGGTAATCAACTCCCAAGTCCCATACTTGAAATTGGATCCTGTCAGAATTTTTAGGGTGTGGCTCTTCTTTCTATTTTTCTCCTTTTGGGAAGAAAGGAGAGATAAGGTTGAAGAATGGTGTTAAAAGTTTATGCTAACTGGAATCTTGTTCTTCTTTATCTCTGTTGTGAACACAATAATTTGTTTTATTTTAAGGGCACGTGTCAATTACATCCCCTAATAAATCTAGTTGGGGTATCTTAACACGGAACATGTTCCAGGTTTACGCTATAGCAGATACTTTATACGAATGTCGTTCCCTTGTCCATAACATCCTACCGAAAGAATCTTCCCAAATTCTTCACTGCATTCTAGATCTTGTCAAATTTAACGTAATTTACTTTGAATTTGAATTTGTACATTTCCCCTTTTAGTCCTTTGCAGATCTGTGGGTTGATTTTCTTCTCAAGGAAACAGAAGAAAGAGAGAAGAGGGGGTCAACAGGAACTACAAATAAATCCATGGATGATTTACATGATAAAAGTCATTATCCTACGCCACATTCCAATCAAAGGTTTAGCACTGGAACAGTACCAATTAACTTACCCACTAATCAAAACATCAGTTCTCTCCCTCGTGGATACTTTCAGCATTCCGAACAACTTGGTTCAGAGTTCTCAACAGTTCCCCTTACATCATCATCAGATAGCAAAAGTACGAATTCAGAAGTCCTTCCCAGATACTAAGTAGACAAATTTTATGTAATTAATCAAAAGGTATAGATCAATGATAAATTGTAGACATGTTATCTTGTTCAATTAATTCTTTCATTTCATTGCCCATTTTGTCCTGTGTGGATATTATTGCATAATTTGAAACGCTGGAACTGTGGGAAATTACCTCATGTATATGTCATGAAATATCACTCCCCTGTCTCAAAAAATATATATACACAATGTTTCTTTAGTCAACTTGCCGCTCCTTCATTCATTATCTTTTTCTTTCCCTTTAATTTCTCCTCGTTCTGCGATCATGTAACAAGTGATCGTTCAAGGTTAAAATATAATTTTAGTTTCTTATCCATATTAGTGTTGTCTGGCCTATTAAGTTAAAAGAAAAATTATCTTTTTCAAGTGCTTGTGGTAAGGTTAATTTGGTCTATTACTCAGTTTTTTATATTAACAGTGCCGATGTTGATATGCATGATATCGTCATTAAATTAACAAAACTAGTATAATAAGTTAATGGTAAAACTGAATTGGTCGACCAAAGAAACTTTAATGTTGGTATCAAAGTATAATTTTAAACTAAATTTGTAAGAGCAAGCAAAAAAAAGTAATAGATAAGAGAAAAGAAATCTAATTTAGCCTAGATTATAAGCCAGTATTACATGAGATGAAAATCTGAACATCTTTTTTTTTTTTTTTGTATAAATTCAAGCCGAGGATGAAATTGAAAAGGTTGATATGAAGTGATGCGACGTTAGAAACGCTGTGGTTCAACAATGACACACCCTTTTCAAGATTGATGCGACGATGGCAGTTATCCATCCATTCAACTGGGCCTCAATTTGGAAAGATCCAATTATTGATGGAATTGTTCAAATTCACGCCACCAATTCGCCTTATTCAACGGTTCCTGTAAATTCAAAACAATTTACAGAGGAGACGGTGAAAATAGAGGAGAAATAAAAATGCAATGGACACAAATAAGGTAGGACACTTGTAGTGAAAGACAAACGTTGGTTTGAACTATAGTCGATGATAGAATATACTATTTATTGACTTTTAAAGACATACAAATCAATAAACTGTCATGGTATGTATATATATATAAAGGTGCATTAACCATCTACACCAAAGTATTTAAGATAAAAAGTCGCTATATTTTATTTAATTTAGGGTATTATATATATTTATGTGTAATAAATTTATCATTTTTACAATTATTGTTATTTTAATTATATGGTTATTTAATTACGCGTAAAATAAGTATATTGACTTTTATTAAAAATATAAAAAAATGACTGAAAAAATTCTAGCTTAAAAAATAAAATTTTATTTTATATTTCAGAGATTTATATTAAATGTGTATTTTTTTAACTTGAAAACACGACAATATAGTAATGACTTTTTCAAGTCAATTGAGTGCTTTCAACTGTGTAATGGCCCTTATCTGTTTTGATAGTTTCTTCGTGTCTTGAAAATCTTTTGATTCTTTGTTGCCTCTTATTAAGTCATCGTCATAGGATTCTCGAAATCATTTTCTTTAAATATATTCTTTTTTCTTCCCTACAAGTCCACAATAATGTTAAAATATTCATACGAATAGAAACCTTCACGCCAAAGATTATGTCAAATCAGACCATATTTAGTATAGACTAACAGTGCAATTTTTCTTATAACATACTTAAAGGAAATATTGTTTTATACGACAAATATGTAACATACTTATAACATATAACAGTCCATATTTAGTATGACGTATGAAATATTGTTTTATACGATAAATATGTAAAATTGTTACTTAATACATAGATGGTTGATGTTTACAAAACTTGTTTAAAACAAACACTTGAATATATAGATTACTCCAAAGAATTAAGGAAACCAAGTTATAAAAACTTACAGAAATAAACTGAACATACGATAAGTTAACATTAACTCCCCAAATACTTACAATAACAATATTCATACTGTAAAACAGTTCTGAATAAGCCGTATATTAATCATCCCATAAGTCTAAATAAACATATCATGCTATTTACCGGTTCAGCCACAAGAACCCTGTTTTTGACAAAATCCCGTAACCAATTCCATATTTGAAACTTTGGTCTACATTTTACAAGCCTCTCAACCCAACAACAAAAAGCACTGAAGGCATCGAATGCTACCTAAAATAAAAAGTAAAAGGAAGCATGCACAACTCATACATTTTATCTTACAGTAACAATTATTTGATTGAAAACTCATACAATCCTTCGACAAAAAACCCAGTAAAATCCATTTGTGCTTGCACAGTTAGAAACTACCGAGAAACTACTATTTTTTTAAGATAAACCAAACTCATTGCCGTTGACACCATACCAACCTAAAACCAACCCAAAACAGCGAAGACTGACATTTGATAAAAGAAACTGCCCCTGGCAACTTCCTTGGACCAAACATGTAGAGCTCTTTGTGATCTTACAAAGATTAACTCACTAAGATAACTTAGCTTTCAATGGACCCACTGGAATCTTAGTCAAGACCTTAGCATCAAACACAGCATATTGCTTTTTAATCTCAATAACTGCCTTCTCTGCAAGTGGGTCTATCTTATCCTCGTACTTCTCATATAGCACAGGAGCCGTGTGCAACAAGATAAAAGCTGCCCATGTAATGAAAAATATGTAAATAAATGAAGTCCCATACAAACTTTTGTTATAAAAATTATGTAATTAAAAGGAATACTAGGTATTCTTACTTATGTAGAAGAGGGTCAAGAAGTTGCACCAGTTCCCCACAATTGATAGAATCCAAGCGCCAGCAATAATCTAACAACCACGACAGAAGCATCAAATCAGGCACCCATTTATTTATCCATTAAAAGCAAAGCAGCTTGTAAGACAGTAAGAAAGAGGTACCATATTGGTAAGTTCAAATAATTGGCCCAAAACATCAGAGATCATTTATGAAAAAGTTACATCAAATATGTGCATAATGACCACAAATGGTTCCGAAGTTACACACCGCTAGGAATTTCTTCAAATCTCTTCCAGAACCAATACTATGCAAAACAGCAAATCCCCGGTTGATTTCAATTCTCAACGCTGATGCAACTTCCAGGAATGGCTCCTCAGGAAGATGAACTTCTGGAATGCGAGGTGGAGATCTGCAATACATAATTTGACATTCCACACAAAAGGTTAGATAAGGCAAACCCCTATACACAAAACAGACTAAGTTCCAAAGGCTCTCACTTGTGAATAAAAGTATGGGCATTGGACCACAAAAACAGAACTGCGAGCAACAGTATCAGAATGTGACACACAAGAGTAAGAAGGTGATACTCGAGCAACTCAAAAAGGACCCAAACAGCAGTGGCTCCGCCAAGGACGCCACCAGATATCTTCTTGTTTCTCCACAATAACACATCAGCAGCTGCAAAAGATAACCAAAAACGAGTCACAAGACAATAACATCACAGACTGAAACTTCTCTATATGTATAATCACACCCAAAGGCATACAATTTTCCATTCAATGACTTCTTATTAAACAAACAACTCCCCGATTCTTCACGTAACATCCCATCATCCACCTATGCGGACCTAGTCAATTTCAAAGTCCAAGTATTTATTATCATCCAAATCATGACTAAAGCTAAATTCGACACATCTGGGAGTAAAAATCACCTGAAACACAAAATAAAATCAACCAGAAAAAGGGAAAGGTCGCTAAATTAATTTTTTTTATATAGAAAACCCCATTAATTTAAGAAAGCCACAAAGAGAAACACAAGTTATTATTCAACATTTAAGTAACTCCGATCAACGATAAACGACATGGGGCAGGGCAAGGCCAAGTCACTTTTTTTTCATCCTTTTTTCTAGCCCCTTTTTTTGTATTATTATCTTTCTTTTCCAATAGTTATGTCCACGACATTCCCACCTAATTATCAGCTCACAAAACGCAATAAAATGAAAACCAAAATAAGAAATAGAAAACAAAAAAAGTTTTACGTTTTCCGGCGCCGAAAACGGAATGAACAGGTCTCTCCCTACCGAAGAGGCGGAAAACCTTATCCTTAACGGACGAAGTAACAGTTTTTTCGGAATCCGAATCCGAATCGGAATCGGAAGAGGACGAGGAATCGTGGCCGTGAAGCTTCTCACTGATCTTATCCAGTAACGATTCGTCGGCCGCGGCGCCGGTGGTAACGGTGCTCTCCGGTTCCTCAGCCATTGAGCCGAGAATTTCTCAGATCGAAAATCCCTAACCCTGATGCGTAGATTTCGGAAGGCGGAAATGGAAGAAGCTCTCTTTTTTTTTGTTGCAGTGTGTATGAGAGAGAGAGAGAGTAGGGTTTGGAATGCGAATCCCAGTGTGGGTTTTATTTGTGTCGCGAATAACAAGGTTAGGGTATCCGAACCTCAGGTTCGGGGAAGATTTGAAATTGAAATAGGAGAATGACGGCGTTTGAATTAGGGATGACCCTGTCATCTATGTCCAGTCTTTTTCTCTATTATTTTCATAATTTTTTTCTCCCTCCCATTTTTAGTTTTTTATTTATTCTACTTATAATTTTAACTAAAATAGTATTTTTCATCTATTATATTTTCACTAATTCTCCTTTAGATAGTTTATGTTTTAAAAAATTTTACATATTTCTGCTGTCCCTCCATTTTTTTTAATCTAAGAAAAGCAAAATTATTTTTTTTAATAATGTTTGAACTTCATCTTCTCGACTTCTCCAAAATTCTGTTAATTTTTAAATCTCAGTTGCCCATACATTAAAATAATAAAAAGTCATCTTTTACAAAATAGTTAAGCCTTGTTCTCTTGTAATGATTTTTATTTGTGTGTATTTATGAATAGAAAAATAATTTTTCATGTAATAAAATATTTGATGATGAAAGATATTATCATATATTTATATTTTGAACCTAAAAAATACATTCAAAATTCGTATTTATTATTTGATTATTAGTTCATAAAATGTGAAGACAGATTTTGAATCTAAGGTTTAGTTTTTTAGGTTAAAACATGTTGGGGTCTTGCATTCTAACCGGTTGACGTCGTTGTGTTGACGACGTTTGTTTGGTCGAGCGAGCAGTGATAGAGTCCCCTACGGTCACAGGACATCACTGACCAACAGGTAACAGCTAAGGACACGTGGTTACTTACTATATTTGGTGAAGAGTGTATATTGTTTTTTTTTTTTTTTTTTTACTTTTATATATCGGGATCCTTATTGAATTTGAATTGTTTATATTTAAATATTTAAACCTGTCTAAAAATAAATAACATTGTTATTATTTATAATTTAATTTAATTTTAAAAAAATAATAAAATAATATGATAGCTTTTTATAATTATTTATAAAATAAATAAATATATAAATAAAATTTCTTGGAGTAAAGATACCATTTCAAACTAAAACTTAACATTAAAAAATAATAATAAATAAGCAGTGATGTTATATAATTTTTAGATATCTTATTTAATAAATTACTATTATTTTGATATTTATGTTTATGATTCAAAATGTTACGAATTATTGACATCTAAATTTGATTGTATTAAAAAAAAATGATATGTCCTGTGCATCAGAGGATATAATACTAATAAGAAGATTAAGAGTTTCAGCTCACAAGAATTTTTTTTTTCAATAATTTAAATTTGAGAAAATACGTATTTTATATTTAATTTATCATTTAAAATATACATTTCAAGAAATAATGTTTTTGGGAATGTTTGTCAGTAATGTTTTTTTACATAATTAAAATTAGTTAACAGAAGTTATATCGTGTAACATATCTATATTCTAATGGAGAAATCCTAAATTTTTATTGAATAATTTTTTTTATTTATTTTTCTCTTATAGAAGTGTTTATGAAAATGTTTATATATCGAGACTATATGTGTGAAATCTAATTTTTACTAATCAAAATAAACGACCAATTGATATATATATATATATATATATATATATATATATATATATATATCACTCTTATATTAGATCGTTTAATTTAATAAAAAATTGATAAAAATATCATGTCACTGTTTTATTCTCAGAAAACTTATACAATTTTTCTCTTAAGAGTATTCTTGACCAGTTAAACCATTTTTTTTTATAAATCCAAAAAATCAAATTCCAGACAATCTTAAGAGCTATAACTCTAATTAAAGAGTAATGAATTCTAGTTTTAAATATAAAAACTTATCTTTTATTGAGTACTCCCAAATTTTATTTTTCTCTTTTAACTAAATACAGTATTTTCCTTTTTCTACCCAAAAAAAAACCCTAATTTGCTAAAATTGATGATTAATTGCATTGTCTATTAGAAAAACCTTGATTGCACTTTTGACAATGATGCATTCTAATTTAGTATTTTCATTTTATGTGTTTTAATTATTAAAATCAATTAAGTATTACAACCGTGTGATTTTGGTCCTGTATTAATTTTTATTAAATTTATGTGAAATGAGAAAACCATTATAAGAGAGATTAATTATGCTTTACGGTTAATTTTAAATAACTTTTTTAAAAGCACAAGTGATAAACTTAATAAAATTTATTGCGTATGTGTTTGAGTCATGTTTAAACATAAATAATTACCAATTGAATTAAATTTACCAGTTTTTTTAAGGCATTCACATTAATTAAAGAAAATATTATCATGTCTTTAATTCTAACAAAAATCTTGAAGTTAGGATTTTCTATAACATATATAATCAATAATTTTTGAAATACTAAAAAGTTAAAACAGTTTTTATAAAAAAAAAAACACAATAACTCGTCTTTAAAATATTTTAAATTCTAATTTGATGTAATCTACATGAACTATCAAACCAAATTAGACGAACTAATCGGGTCATAATCACTTCTAAATTAGGCTTGGACTTGGCCATGGAGAGTTATCATAGTTGTATACAACAAAGGTTGTTCAAAAGCATCATTCCCACAAACAGATTTCGATCTTCTACAGTTTCAAAAGACAATGCAACATCTGTTATTGTAAATTCAATCCTTAAAGAAGTCAAATTTAATTTAAAAATATTAGCCTTTTATCTAATAAAAGATTCAAGGATGAAACTTTTGCAGTTCCACTGGTAGCTTCTCTTCTCAAGCTAGTTTCCAGTCAAAGTTACATTTTATGCTTTTGATAATATGTAAAAATTCTACAGTAACTAATAGTTTTTCTTGGACAATAAATAGTGATACTAAAACTTTTACTGATTTATTATTCAACTCATTATGCGCAGATGCTTCCAATGCCCAAAGAAGGCTTGGTATATATGTCAAAAAGAAAGACACTTTTATGTGTTTCAGGACAAAAGCCAATGATGGTGGAACCAGTTCTGCACTGAACTTTCTGAACTACAAAAATTGCTCAATTATCCTCGTTTCGTTTCAATTTGCATTTGGACCCTCATATGGATGAATACCAGATTCGGTATAAGTTTAGTAGTGTAGCACCAAAATGGATAAAGATAGAGAAGTATGGAGTGTGTCTCAGAAACTACGAAATCATAATGTTAAATCAGAATGCAATGTTTGAGAATGATTCCACGTCCAACGCATGCTGATAAATGGAGTTTGGCACTTACCTAGTGGATTATCCAAACGCTGTTGTGACTGCTTAACAAATGCTTAATTTCAATCAGTGATAATAGTGATGTCAACTCACAAAAATATCTTGTATCAGGCTACACACAGTTTGTTCAAAGTATTTCTGCCATTTAACTGATACATGCATAGAGTGGAAAACCAATAGTAAAAAACTTGCAAGTGCAGCTGAGTATAGAAAGCACTAGTCGAAAAGGCCTCCCATATGTTCAATACTCCAAGTCTTCCACTCACTCCAGAATAAACAAAAACAAATTAGTAAAAGAAAGTTACATTCCTTAATAGTATATGTCTAACAGTGGTATAAAAACATCATTCTCTTAATATATTGAAACGTTTTTTAGTATAGACAAAATCATAAACGAAGTAGATAGTATCAAACTAGAAATTCTGTTGAATAAAGTGATCTAATAAATATTAATGAATTCAGAGTTCCAACTCCAGGTACTTTGAAAATATGATTCTCTTAACATATATAAAAACCCTTTATAAAAGGTAAAATCTTAAATAGACTATTATTGAATACTAAATCAGACATTACTGTAAATAAGGTGGTTTAATAAGTGTATATTTGATTTTGTATTAGATGAAGTCAAGTATAGATTCATTATTTATGTTTAAACTGATAGTTAAATCAGAGATGTCAGTTAAGTTAACAGTATATATTAAACTAAATTGCAGATGAAACTCTGCTGAGTTTTTCTTTTTGATGTTTAGGAAATGTAAAATAGGATTGACCACAAAAGGGTTTAGTTGAGTGGACTTGTTCATGATAAAGTAGAGAAGAATATTTCACAAACCTAAAGGCTACTGTGTTTCGTGCATCTAAGCGTGTCAGGGATTGTTTGACATTCTACACACTGAAAGGGATATTTCATCTAATACCTGTCTGGCAGTAGAATACAACAAGAATATTGAGAGAAAGAATGAAGGGATATCAAATACAAGCTGTCTACAATGACGACAAATAAATGGGTCCATCCGTGTAGAGAAAAAGGAACCAAAAAAGCACCAATATCTTCGTGTCCTGAATGAAGTGGAGGCAAAGCCAATGACCAAAGCTAATGCAATGAAATGCGAATCATCTGACATGGGATAATGAAGAGCCAGGAAATTAGCATCACCAAGGGATTCTATTTGCGGCCCAAAACACCAATGACTAGACAATGTGCTCGACCAAAACAACTGGTCAAAAGGGTAAAAGTAGGAGAGAAAATTACTTTATATATATATATATATATATATATATATATATATATATATATATATATATATATATATATATATATACATAAAGTGAAAGAGAAAGTGATTTTTTATTCATAAAGTGATAGAACTGAAAAGAATAAATCTACATAAGATTAGATAGATCACAAAAGCTTATTTAGAAAATTACTGCACATGTAATTTTACTCATTGGTATAAGGAAAATCGGATACACATTACACGTGTTTGACACTGCATCAGATCACAAGAGACTCGCAACAAAAACTCTCATTTCCAGAAAAGATACTCCAAACAAACAGCTTTTGATTTTCATTTCCGCGTGTGTTATCTTGTAAAAAGTAGAATAAAAAAACTCGAATTAGATAAAAATTAACTTCAATACCTGAAGCACATGTTCTAATCCACATTGATAAAAAAACAAGGTTATGTTAATGTCAAATCAATCAAATGTACTTCTGGCCGTTTGTTTTATCATTAAAAAATGCAAATCGGTTTCATCCGCTGAAGCTTACAATCCGGAATTGTAATTAGCTTAATTGACCAAAAATTGAATTCAGTTTCGAATGTAAAACCAGATTCATCGGAGTCTAAAACAACCAAACACTGTGATTTAGGGAACAATCATGCACTCCCCGTTAACAAAACTGACACGAAACACGATCTCGAGCTGCATCAAGCGTCGTATGAACAAGTCTTGTCAAACAAAAAGAAAAACATTTACTTGAATTAATATTATCTATGTAAAAGAGAAGAAACGGAACACCCCAGCTATCTCTAACAATTTTCCCTATTTCCCTTACATCAGACCTAAATCACAAAAGAAAAGAAAAACCCTCCATTTTCCCCCACCCACCTCTGAAAGTAAAAAAAAAAAAAATGAAAACTTTAATTCTCTCAATAACAAAAAAAAAAGGGGCAAAAGAAAACCCACAACACAAATTAACCCAATAACCCCAAAAAGTTTTATTATTTTTTTTTTTTTTAAGTCACCTACTTCGCCGTCTATCGGCGGCGTACTGAGAGAGCGGCACTACCTCCTGCAGCGGCGTGGAGAGCGGCGTCGGGAGCGGCGAGTTGCGGCACACGGGGCAGGAGCCTCTGAGTCTGAGCCAGGAATCGAGGCAGCAGAGGTGGAAGAAATGGCGGCACTCGGGCATCATCCTCAGCATCTCCGAATCCTTGTACTCGCACAAACATATGGAGCACGTGGTGTTATTGCCGTTACTATTCCGCGCGTTGTCCCTGTCGAACTGGAACCTGGGGTAGGAATTAATGACGCTCTGGTCGAGCCCCACCGCAACGTTGGCCTCCTCCTCGTCCTCGTCCTCAGCCACAAAGATGACACGCGGAATGACGACGCCGTCGGAGGGGTTGGCGGCGGCGGTGACGGCGGTGGTTTGGTTGCGTTGGCGGGTTGTGCGGCAGCAGAGGTAGGAGGAGAGGAGAAGGGTGGAGAGGAGAAAAAGGAAGGCGAGGGCTATGGCGATGGAGTAGCCAAGGCCAAGGTGGGTGAAGTGAGGGGAGGGAATGGAAGGGGACATGGAGAAAGGGAAAGAAGAAGAAGAAGAAGAAGAGACAGAGGAGGAAGAAGAAGAGAAAAGAGATTCTCCATTTGGGAAGGGTAAAGGGTGGGTGAGGGCCTCAGCTGCTGCATTTAATACTTTGTTTTTTTGATTTTCTTCTGAGACTCAATTCTCAGCAGAGGAGTTAGTCTGCATTAAATTCTGCAAGTGGAATGGAGTTACTCATCACTCACACTATCATACTTCTTTTGACTTTCATTTCCTCATTTTATTTTTCAATATTTCAGCATCAGAGTTTATCCCCCATCATTACATGATATTACATTTGTCTTATTTTAAAAATAAATCAACAAAAACTTATCATTTTTCATAATAGTTTTTGTAATGACATCATGCAACTAAGAATTATTGATATTTAATTATAAGGTAAATTGTTCAATTCTTGCAACTAAGAATTATTTGCAGTGCAACATCATGCACATACCATGTTTAACTGATGACGGTGTGTTTTCAATGAATCAACAGTAATAGATCTCCGAGTATGTAGGATGAAATTGTCAATTCAAACAATGGGACGTTAGTTTGGAGCTGAGATTTATCCAATATAGTAATTATTTTAATTGTAATTAAAATAATCCATGTTAAAGAAATGTGAAATATTTATCAATAAGATATTTAAGGTAAGTTGAAAAAAATGTTTAAACCAAAGAAATTTATTTATTTTAGTTAAGTATAAGCCCTAAACATGTCTTTAACACATGTCCCAAAATATTATATCTAAAAAGTGTTTTTATAGTGATAGGGTTGAAAAATGTAAGTGCTAACACATACCCCAAAATGTTATGTTTTCACATTATTTTGTAGAGGTATGTATGTTACAACTTGACCTTTCTCCACTTTGGGTTTTGGAGGTTGGTTCCTGGCAGTGGAGGGAAACAGGGGAATCAACTACTATTGATTACAAGACACTAGTATTGTGTTTTGATGTGTGTTTTAGAATTTTGTCTTCTTTACAATTTGGTAATCTTTTTATTTGCATTTAATTTTGGGATAATGGTGTGTGGGGGTGTGTGAGGTTGTGATCTGAACTTTCCAAAAGAAAAGGGTTTGGGATTGGCTGAAACCTATGTTCGTGCGTGCCACAACTGAGAAAAAGGTTGGTGTTGTGTGTTTGGTGTCGTGGGGTGGCAGAGAAAGCGAGTGTTCCAACAAATTTCTTCACCAATTTGTATTCTTCTTCACAATGTAATGAATGAAATAACCAAATCAAATTAGCCTCACAACATTACAATAATAATTCCATTTAAACAACACTAATATTTGTTTCGTTAAGTGTTTATTCTTTTGTGAGTCTTGTCCCTCGTAGCCTAAAAAAACATTGTTTGGCTTTTCTAGAATGAAACAAATTTTTAAATGGAGTTTGGAATTAATCGTCTTAACATTTTCTGAAAGCAAATAAATAAATTCATTAACTAATTTTTTAATATAAGTTAACCGAAATTAAAAATTTAGAAATAAAACGGAAAAAAAGAAGTTATCGAGGATATAGAGTTAAATGCTTCCTTGACTTTTTTTTTTTTAGAAAAAAATAATCCCTCTTTGCTGTCATATTTTCTTGGCACCGTTACTATTCAGAAATTAATAAATAACCTCTCTCTTTGCTTTTCACCCTTTTTTTTACCTGTACCAATTAATTGATTTTGTTTTCAAAGTACATTTTAAGAAAATTAAATTATATTGTAAAAAATTTAACTTTTTAAGGTATTATAATGTATGCTACTTGTGTTTTTTCAGAGGGTATAAAAGGCAAAAACAAATATAAATACTTCATTCTTCTTTAATATAATATATGTTACATATTTTAGCACTCTAACAAGTTATTAGTGGTGATGAATAAATGAATTTTAAAGAATAACAATATATATTTATTGTAAAAAATTAAGGTTAGGACAACAACTGGTTTTGAAAATTATATTAGTTCTATATAACGCATTTGTAAGAGTTGTTTTTTTAATTAATTAACGCTTATTTGTTAATATAAAATACTTGTTTATAAGATTACAAATTTGTGACTTAATTTATATGAATTTATTTTTTCTTAATATTAGTGTTAATTTGAATTTTTTGGGTACCTTAAATATTCCTAGTGAAAGTTCAAATTGTTGATAATTAAAGACTTATACGTTATGTGTGACAAAGTATTAATGACATTATAAAGTACCTGGTATTTAAACGTGAGTATTTTTATATATATAATAATATTGCATACTTTTTTTTTAATATTAAGATAAAAAACTTATTTAACCTAATTTTTATTAATAGAAGTTTCATTCCTACTTTTTTTTTTTTATTGGTAATGTATCTCATTCATCTAAAACTTTTTCATAGAAAATAGTATTTTTTTTTTCAGAATGGATTTCAGTGAACAATAAACATCAATCATGATTCATCAAACCGGTTTCCATTTTGTGGGAACCATTCAAATGTTGAAGTTTGAACCCACGGCGCACGTTAATGGAAAAGTTGTTATTATGCTATCATACCAAACATTTTCACTGTCTCGTCATTTTCATTATAATTTAATACTACTTTGTTAACCTTTTATTTTTAAATCAACATCAATATTTTTAGTATGTACACATTTATATATTAATATTTCGCATAAAGAATTTAATTAAAAAAAAAAATCGGTCTATCGTGATAAAAAATTGCAGTTCTGAAGGTTCATTAAAAGAAGTTTGGTGAGCAAATTAACAAAAGAAGTAAAGTAATTAACTAATTATATTCATATACATTTTTTTTCCTTTTCATTCTATTACCTATCACATTAAATTTATGACTCTCTCTCTTTTTCTTTATCTTAAACCAAATTCAAAAACACAAGAAGAATCACCAAACAAGAAGAAAATCCTCTGATAAACTATTTCAGCTTGTTGAATTATGACATTAGACACGTTCTAAGGCATTGTTGTCACCGTTGTTAATATTATTATCGTTGTTATTATTGGTTCGAGTTTCCATAAGCGAGTTCCTACACACGGGACACGACGCATGAACCTTCAACCACACGTCAATGCAATCTCGGTGAAAGTAGTGGCGACAGTGCGGCATCATCCTTAGCATCTCCGATTCCTGGTAATCCTCGATACAAATGGCGCAGGTGGAGTCGTGGTCGTACATTGTTGCCACACTGTTGGTTTTGCTGTAGGGGAAAGTGTGGTAGGACTTTATGACGTCAAAGGGTAGTCCTGTGAGGTTATTATTTTGATCGTTATCATGGTGGATCATGGAGGCGATGCTGTTGCTGATGTTGTCGCTGCCATGATCGTTACGTCGTAGAGAAACGTACACGTAACACACTCGAATGAAGAGAGACATAAATATGAGCACGAGAAATATCCTCGTGAATATGTCTAAGCCATTATTTGGGGTGAGGTTCATGGGTGGCTCGTCGGAGAAGGAGGGAGAGGGAGATAACAATGACATGGGAACAAGGTGGTGGTGGAGTTACAAATTGAACTTGTTATGTATGATCAGAACTTGTGACATGGGAGAAGATTGGTGGTGATTATAGGACACTGTAGGTTGATTTGTAGGAAGGTTTTGAACTTGTTTTTTCTATGAGTGTGCTGTGTTGGAACAAACTTTGAAGCTAATTGAAGTTGTACGTTAACAGAATCTAAAATTAACCTAAAAGGGGGTGCTTAGGTGCATGATAAACCCTAAACCGTTTATTACTCAATTGGTGTTGTATTTGCAATTTTGTTTTTGCTTTTTTGGTTACATATGAAATTCGTTGGTTTTTACTATCATTTTCTTTAAGTTTTTTGCTGTGCTAATAATAAGGATCAAATCAAAACTTTTTTTTCTTAGTTGTGAAGCCACTGCATGCATGTAAAATTTTCAAACGTAACATCTGAATCCGAGTTGGCGTTGATAAATAAAACAAACACACAAGAATTAACGAGCTTTAATTAGATTTTATGAAATTAGTGTGAATAAATCTTTACAAAGTTTTCCAACTTTATATTAATGGAATAAAATTAACAAAAAAGATTAATTATTCACCACGAAAAGTGATGAACGTGTTTTTTTTAATGTATTATATTCTGATTAATCAATATTAAAAAAAAAAAAGTATACCCAACTAGTCAATAATTAAAATAATTTTATTTACTGATAAAAAAATTAATTTTAATTATGTACCTATAACTAGCCAAAATCTCAAAGTACAGGATAAATTACCTTTTGTTGTTACTTGTGTTCTATAATTAAATGTTGTGTTATTTTATTATTGGTTGTGTCGGGTAATGATATATATTGGAGAAGTGTTTTCCAATTTCCACTCTTCATATATATGAGAACAAATTATACTCAACATGCTTAATGATCTAATTATTTTCTGTATGTATATATATATAATAATGAAACCGATGCATTAAAATAAATTAAAACAACTTGAAATCACTAATCTACATAATTAATTATCACATTTGAATGAGAACGTATCATGGAATTATTTATATTTCTTATAACTTTTTTATCATTTTTTATAAAAATTTTCATAAAATGACTTTGTTGAGGATTTTCTATAGATTTAGTAAGACCTACAAAAAAATTATAATTTTTTCCATAAAAATGAAAAATTTTAGTGGTGTTTTTAAAACTTATTTTCCTATTTTAAGTCTTCTGGTAGTTTTTTTTTTCAATGAATTGATAATTAATTTGTATTTTTTATTTTTGAAATAATTTTATTTAAATTTGATTTATGTTTAAAATATTAGAACATTATATCAAATTTAATATATATATATATATATATATATATATATATATATATATTTCTTTTAGACAAACTGAATATTAAAAATACATAGATTTGGTTAATAGTGGTGAACAATTTAATATGTATTTCTTTTAGACATTGAATCTAACCAAAGATAAAAAAAAAATGATTAATAGTGGTGGCCAATTTTTTCCCCTAAACTAGGTATATTTGGTGTTTTAAGAGATTGTCAAGTTCATAAAAAAATTGAATTAAAACTCGTACTTATCTATAAAATGTTTATATTCTAAATGCATTGAATTTTTGTAAAAGTTGCATTAACGTTTTGAAATAATCCTAAAAGAAATTTAATGTCAATCAACACGAAACTAACTAAAATTAGTATTTTGTTGTAACCCCTCTACAAGCATTGAATAAATATTATATGTGTAATAATTATGTAAGAGTTTAATATATCTCATGAAATATAGGAAGAAAACAAGAAAGAAAAATAAATAGTTTTTTTTTTCATAAGTTAAAATTATTTTATGTGTAAATAAAAGGTAAAATTTTGAAAAACTAATATAAGATACATTTTAAAAATTAATTTATGAAATAATTTTTTGTTGTTGATATTTTTTAGTTTTATGAAAAATTTGTTCAATGAGACTGATTATAATGAGAAAAAAAAGTTAACTTTTTTGTGTGCAGAAAATGTGAAACGATCATAATTAAAGAAAGCAATTACAATAAAATATTTGAATTAATAAAAATAAAAATAAAAATTAAACCTACCATATATATATATATATATATATATATATATATACTAAGTGGAATAAATTAGAGACTAAACAATACAATATTCTCTTCCTTTGACGTTAATTAGTACTAAGGCGTCTCCTATAATTGCCATGCTTCTTGTTTCTACTCTTGAAAAAGAAATCTCATTTTGGCTTTCATATATATTCTTAGATATTATTGTATTGTAAGAACATTCATTAAAGAAGCAGTAGATATTAATAGTTCAAAGATTTAAAAATAAAATCTAGTTAGATATGAATTGAAGATGAATATTTCGAAATATCCTAATAAATATCTTTACTAATTCTTCTGAATATTAAAATATTGAATATTTATAATGGAATATTTTAGTAGGACAGAAAATCATTTTTAACATTTTTATATATATAAAAAATATCCCAAGTTTTTATAATATAATATTTCATCGAACAAATATTTGAAAATGTTGGAAATTTACTGCGACTAGATAATTTTTAATATATAATTGAGGTACTAATAATTCATGTTGTTGCATGAGAAAAATTAGATATAAAATCAAGGTTTTTCTTATTTTAATTGATTAAATTGGTTATGATTCTGAGTTGTGTAACGCTACACAACATGTCAACATCGTTGGTGTTCTACAGACCGAAAATTCCTTTATATGCTGCATGATCTGATCAACTTGTTCTCACCGAGAAGTTTTCTGGTTCAGTTGCATAAACATTGATGGAGCCTAAGCCTATGTTTGTGTTTTCATTTCCATTCATGATCCTCATTATTCATTGGTTTCTATTGCCTCTTCATGGCAGTGCTGCTGAGAGTTCCACATATATAGTCCACATGGACAGATACCTTTTGCCTAATGTCTTTTCAACCCATCACGATTGGTTTCAATCCACCATTGAGTCCATAAAATCTGCAACACTTGATCACTCATCCAAGCAATCACAGAAACTGATAGTGTACTCCTATAACCATGCCATGTATGGTTTTAGTGTAGTACTAACTACGGAAGAGTTAGAAGCTGTTAAGAACTCCCATGGTTTTGTTGCAGCATATCCAGACAGAAGTGTCACCATAGACACCACTCACACTTCTGAATTTCTCTCCCTTGACTCTTCCAGTGGCCTATGGCATGCGTCAAATTTTGGGGAGGATGTCATTGTGGGTGTTATTGACACTGGTGTGTGGCCTGAGAGTGAAAGCTTCAAAGATGATGGCATGACCAAGAAAATTCCAAACAGATGGAAGGGGACCTGTGAGGAAGGGCAAGAATTCAACACTTCCATGTGCAACTTCAAACTGATTGGAGCTAGATTTTTCAACAAGGGTGTGATTGCTGCAAACTCCAAGGTTAAAATCAACATGAACTCAGCTAGAGATACTGCGGGTCATGGAACTCACACATCATCAACAGTTGCTGGAAACTATGTCAATGGAGCCTCTTACTTTGGCTATGCCAAAGGGGTGGCTAGAGGTATTGCACCAAGAGCTAGGCTTGCCATGTACAAGGTCCTTTGGAAGGAGGGTCGTTTTGCCTCTGATGTTATGGCTGGAATGGACCAAGCCATTGCCGATGGGGTTGATGTCATGTCCATCTCTATGGGGTTTGATGGTGTTCCACTTTATGAGGACCCTATAGCAATAGCTTCGTTTGCAGCAATGGAAAAAGGGGTGGTTGTTTCATCCTCTGCAGGAAATGCTGGTCCTGATCTTGGTACTCTGCACAATGGAATCCCCTGGCTTCTGACTGTGGCTGCAGGTACCATAGACCGCAGATTTGGTACTCTAATTCTTGGAAATGGCCAAATCATTGGTGGTTGGACCTTGTTTCCAGTAAATGCCCTGGCGGAAAATCTTCCACTTATCTACAATAAGAATATATCAGCATGTAATTCGGTCAAATTGTTATCCACAATGGCCAAAGAAGGGATCATTATATGCGACTTATTGCCAGACCCCGAGTTATCGTTTAAACAAATGTGGGTAGTTGATGAAGCTAGTTTGTCAGGGGCAGTGTTTTTCCTTGATGGTTCTTTGTTAAATGTAGCAGGAACTGGCAGGTCTCCAAGTATTGTAATCGGTGCTCAGGACGCACCATCTGTGATAAACTATGCAATAAGCCATAGGAAGCCAACAGCCACCATCAAATTTCAGCAAACATTTCTTGGAATAAAGCCAGCACCAGCTGTTGACGGTTACTCTTCAAGAGGTCCTTCACCTAGCTATCCTGGGGTCTTGAAGCCTGACATAATGGCACCTGGCTCTAACGTTCTTGCTGCTTTCAATCCTCATATTCCAGCAGCTAAAATTGGTACCAATGTGCTCTTACCTAGTGACTACAATATTCTGTCTGGAACATCCATGGCCTGCCCTCATGCTTCTGGTGTTGCTACTCTTTTGAAAGCTGCACACCCTGAATGGAGTGCTGCTGCTATAAGGTCTGCATTAGTAACCACAGCTAGTCCTCTAGATAACACACAAAATCCAATTAGAGACTACACGTTCCCTTCTCAATATGCTTCCCCTCTTGCCATGGGAGCTGGTCAAATTGATCCTAACAAAGCACTTGATCCAGGTTTGATATATGATGCCACCCCACAGGACTATGTTAATCTCCTTTGTGCTTTGAAATACACACTAAAGCAAATCTTAGCCATTACAAGATCAACATCCTACAACTGTGCAAAACCATCGCTTGATCTTAATTACCCCTCATTTATAGCTATCTATAGCAACAAAACAATGTCAGTTGTCGACAAATTTAAGAGGACAGTCACCAATGTTGGAGACGGTGCTGCCACATACATAGCCAAGGTGACACAACCTAAGGGCTCTGTGATGACAGTGTCACCTGAGACTTTGGCATTTAGGTATAAAAATGAGAGGCTGAGCTACAATGTTATAATAAAGTATAACAAGTACAATAAGGAAGATATCTCATATGGGGATCTTGTTTGGATTGAAGATGGAGGAGCACACAGAGTTAGGAGCCCCATTGTGGTGGCACCAAGTGGAATTGTATGAGTTATAGTTTGAGGTTTCCTTCTTCTGGCCATAGAATTCTACCTCTTTCAGGGGACCCCAAAATAACAAATAATGTGATGATTAAGTAATTTCGTGAGTTTCCATTTTCAGTGTTCTATCAATATCAATCAAGCTGCACAAGATACTTCTGTGGAAATGTGATTCACATGAATTTGGACAAAGTGCTCAATAATGAATTGTGACTAAAATACATCAGACTAAAACATGTTTTATCCAACACATTGCACTGAATCTTCTTCACTTGAACCAAGTGATGGATTACAGGAATAATTACTCTTGCATTGCAATGCCCTTTTATTTGGGACTGTTTCCTGCAAGAATAATTTTGATCTAAGTTTATATCAGATATAACTATTTTAAATTTAATCTTAGGAAAATAGCGCACACAATATCACAATATAATTTACTTAGCTATTTAATTATTTATAAGAGGGAGTTAAGATAATCAAAATTTAGTAAAACCCATTTTCCAAAAGAAAATGTGTTCCAAACATGTCATTTACTCAATAGTTCCATGTTTCTTCTGTTCAGCTCCCTATTTAGTCAAATCAAAGACATGCAAATTGTTTTAAATTACGAGCAAGTTATTTAATCACTTTTAGTTTTAATTTACGACATTTGGTTTCTTGTGAACGTGATTTGAGACCTTAGTTTGCTCGTGAACGTGAACATTGAATTGATCAACCAAAGCATTATTATTTCATTAGAAGGCACACAAACCCTGCATCATGTATTAATTTATTCTTTGTTTAATAAATTTGGGTTGTTGCAATGGCATAAAATACTAATTATATAAATACAACAACATATCTGATCACGCAAATTGTTGTCCTACTTGACACTGAGAATTCATATGTTATTTGATAACGATGTTTTTCTTATACTACTTTTATGTTGAAGTGAAGAATATGTTGAGACTTCCATGTAAGAGTGTCAAAGACACGAGGAAAATATTAGAAGGAATTTCAAAGTACCAATTTTCTATTGGTATATATTAAGCATGCATATAAGTTGCATTTTTATTTTATTTTTATAGGCCTACAATTTCATATTATTTCTAAACTATGGACTTTTTAAAAAGGGCCATTTAACATAAGAAGTTTCAAAAAATTCATATATTTTGCAATAATTATTATAAAAACAATTTATTTTTATAAAAAATATTTTTTCAGAGAAAAATTATGATGCCACGTAAAACTTATTTTATTGACAATTTTTTTAAAAAAGTTTTTCAAACAATAAATTGACCATGGGATGTGCTCAAACAAAACCTGCTGTTGTTATTTTATTATGTATGTTCTGTCGTTCCGTTGAATATGAATGCATGACCAATTCTTGATTCATCACCAGTTCTCTGTGTAAGCTGAATATAATGGATTAAAACGAAACGAAGGGCTTATTTTTATATATTTTTTAAGAGATTCCAGGATCATACATTGAACTTAAAGAATCATAAAATAAATATATCATTAGATAAGTGAATTTGAAGTGAAGATTTTTAATTGGTCGTACACAAGGCGAAGCAGTCAAACTCGTAAACAGAGTCAGATTATGAGAATGTCTTTGAGAAACAAGGTTGTCCCTTTTGGACTATCACGCTTTCCAAGTCCTAATGTTATAGAGTGGGACACTAGAAGTAACACAATTTTCTTCTTGTTGAATTCCTACACATTTCAATATCAATAAATGTCCTTCTCATCCATATTTGAAAATCATTAAGAGAGTAAACCACTTCTCTATGCTGAATATTCGGCACACCAAGACAAATAGTAAAATGAATCATGCCGTGTGATAAGAACCAAACTAACTCATAAACATTGGAAAAATAATTCAACTGTAACTCATCTGCTGTCTTCTCTGAAGATTTGTTCATGGAGCTTCTTCACAACATCAACATTCTCACCACAATTCTGCTCCTATGCATATTCCCTCACTCACTCAAGTGCCAACAAGAATACCTCAATGGCACTGTCTATGACTGTTCTGAGAGCCCTTCAGCACCAAAAGGGTACCTTTGCAATGGCCTTCAGAAGTCATGCTCTTCCTTCTTACTTTTCAGGTCCATACCTCCCTATGATAACCCTGTCAGAATTGCCTACCTTCTTGGATCCGAGGCATCTACCATTGCCTCAATCAACAAGATCACAAGAAATGACAAGATTGCTTCCAACAAGACAATCATCGTTCCTGTATTCTGTTCATGTTCAGGAAACATTTACCAGCATAACACTCCTTACACTGCCAGCAAAAATGACACCTATTATCAGTTGGTAAAAGAAACCTTTCAAGGCCTCACTACGTGTCAGGCAATGATGGGTCAGAATTACTATGCAGCTACCAACATTGCAATTGGTGCTGTGCTTACAGTTCCGTTGTTATGTGCTTGTCCAACTGAAAATCAGGCAGCAAGAGGGATCACCTCCTTGCTGGTTTACTTGGTGAACTATGGTGACACTATTAAGTCCGTAGGAAAGGCTTATGGTGTCGATGAACAAAGTATGCTTGAGGCCAATGAGTTGGCTGTGCCAGAAAGTGCAGAGAGCAGAATGAACCTCGTTACATTGACACCTCTTTTAGTTCCTTTACCAGGGAAGAACTGCAAAGAGAACCCAGATGAATTCTATTGTACATGTTACCAAGCACCAGATGGAAGCTCCAAGGGGCCCTTCTGTGATGAATCTGATGGTCAGAAATTCCCTGCCAACTTGGTAGCTGCTTTAGGTATTTTTGTCTAAATCCTCTACAAGAAGAATCAAAATATGCTTTTATTGAAATTTTGGTTTTAGCTTTTTTAGAATAGCATAGCTGTTGTTTGTAGAACACATCCCTTATGAGCTATATATATATCATCCTAGAAGAGTAAGGGCAATAGATTAGAATAAGAACTTGTATTTTATTGTCTCCAAAAATAGCTTTCTGTTTTCTAAACTTTGTTTGTTATCTTAAAGCAGATTTCTCCGTTTCCAAATGATCATCCCTTCAACACTTGATTAGAGCATTTGAAGAAAATAAAAGAGGATGAGAAAATGTCTCCCAACAGTTTCTAGTTTTTAGTTTTTTAAGCACTTATTTTGGAAACAAATTCTAAAATTAATAGATTTTATGCGAAGTGAATTGCTAAGTAGTGTGAAATTGTTTTAGAAAACAGTTTTACAAATAAAATAGTTATAAAGAAATCAAGCAGACCCAAGATGATCAGTAATGACATCATGCCAATAGTCAATTTTCGCTTACTTTAAACTTCCAACTTCGTTATTTACTGATTTCTCTAAAACATAAGGATGTTTATTTCAAGCCTTTGCTTCCACTTGAATTTGAGTTTTATTTTGTTCTATTTTTTAATTTGCAGGAGTTGGTATTGGTGGAGGCTTTCTGTTTTTGTTTCTTTTTGGGTACAAATCATATCAATACATTCAGAAAAATAGAGAAAGTATCCGTAAGGAAAACCTTTTCAAGCAAAATGGTGGCTACTTGTTACAAGAGAAGCTCTCATCTTACGGAAATGGAGAAATGGCAAAGCTGTTTACAGCCAAGGAGCTAGAAAGAGCAACAGATAACTACAACAGAAGTAGGTTTCTCGGTCAGGGTGGCTATGGCACAGTGTACAAAGGAATGTTACCAGATGGAACCATAGTTGCAGTTAAAAGGTCCAAAGAAATTGAAAGGAACAAGATAGAGACTTTTGTGAATGAAGTTGTGATTCTATCCCAGATCAACCACAGGAACATTGTCAAGCTATTAGGTTGCTGTCTTGAGACAGAAACTCCTTTATTAGTCTATGAATTCATTCCCAATGGAACACTTTCTCACCATATCCACAGGAGAGACAATGAGGTCTCCCTTTCATGGGACAGTCGTCTTCGAATTGCATGTGAGGTTGCTGGAGCAGTGGCATATATGCATTTTGCAGCTTCTATCCCCATCTTCCATAGAGACATCAAAACTACCAATATACTTTTAGACAGCAACTTCAGTGCCAAGGTGTCTGATTTTGGAACATCAAGATCAGTGCCACAAGACAAGACTCACTTGACCACAGCTGTAGGAGGAACTTTTGGGTACATAGACCCTGAATATTTTCAGTCTAGTAAGTTTTCAGATAAGAGTGATGTGTATAGTTTTGGGGTAGTGCTTGTAGAGCTCATAACTGGGAGAAAGCCTATTTCATTCTTAGAGGAAGATGAGGGTCAGAATCTGATTGCACAGTTCATTTCTCTGATGAAGGAGAACAAAGTTTATGAAATTTTAGATGGCAGGGTCGCTAAGAAAGCAAGGAAAGATGACATTCTTGCCATTGCAAACCTTTCTATGAGATGCTTGAGACTTAACGGGAAGAAAAGGCCAACAATGAAAGAGGTTTCATTAGAATTAGAAGCATTGAGAAAGGTACAAAGTTCCTTACAGATCAACCATGATCATGAGCACAAAACCAGTGATATCGATCAAGATTGCACAGAGGAAAGCATGTCGCTGTCCCTACAACTAGAATCCACATCATTTTAGGAAGCTATATTTTCTTTTAATGACATTTATAGATAAAAAAATTTGTATTTCTCCACAAACATCACTTGAAACTTGGAAGTATTCTTAGTTGAGAATTGAAAAATCCTCATTCATATTATATTTTTTAACATACTACTATATCGCAAATAAAAGAGCTTATTAAAAAAATGAGATTTCCATCATTGAAGCTGCATAAAAAATGATGTATGAACCTTGTTGAACTAAAGAAAAATTCAAAAGTCAAAATCATGAAACGTGCAACATAAAACATGTTGAAGATTTCAAAGATATATTATATACATATATAATGTCACAATTTGATTCCTCAACTAGGTATATATTTTAGTGGATAATGTACTCTCAATATTGAACAAAATATACTTGCATGTTTTCGCCATCCAAGAAAAAAAAGAGTCTAAACCAACATTTTAACACGTATACACATCACAAGACCAGTCTTGTCATTTTTCACAAAG